ACTGCTTTGGAGCTATTGAGGGTTCTTGCAAAATGGGCTGATCTCGGTCGGACTCGGTCATGTCTTCTGAGCCTCTGTGTAGAGAAGATACATCTTTCTGGTGACGGAAGGTTTTATGCCGCATTGGCTGTCTGCGCCGAGTGGCAGAGTGACGTGTCGGTTCCCATTTCCCAGTGGGCGTTGGGGCTTAACGTCCAAGATCGAAGGTTTGGGCTTGGGATTGTTCAAGGCGTGCCGCTAGAGTGTGTAGATGATCTTTGAGACTCAATGGACTCCCCGAATGAGAAGGTCAAGATTCAAGTTTTCTGCGTTTCTGGGTCACAAGGGGTGGGTGGCCCACTGTGCCGAACCTGTCAGCAACGAATGCAAGCGCTTGCAGGCCGTTCTGAATTATCTGCTCGCCACGCACCAGGCAATCTTGAATAAAGATTTTTTCGATTGCTGCATGTGGCTGCTGTGACAAGATCTCGGTGGAACGCTCTTGCTTCGTAAGCGGAAGCCAAGCAAGAATGTCCTAAGTCCCCGACCTACACATACGACTTCAGATTAAGTCCCCGACGTACACAGTATTTTGCAAGCTATTGCGATCATCCAGGCATTGGGTTGAGGGTGCGAGGACCTTCTCACTTTCCTCTTCTTGGGTCAGTGTGTGTGTGTGTGTGTGTGTTACGCCCCCAAGAAACCATATCAAGGACTACTCTGGAACCCTTCGCCTTTGACTTTTGGTGGCTTTCCATGGTCATTGCTTGTTTCTTTTGAGCGTAACGCTGCAATTGGGTTACCAAAAAGCACAGAAACAACTGTATGTGGTGGGCGTCTTTGCCCAAGACATCGTCCTACGAGTCGTCTAGAAATCCCTTCAACTGATGGCGGCTTTCTATTCCAAGCTCTTGCATGTCCTAGCACAGTATTCTCCTCTTCCAAAAAGTTTAAGTTCTTCTGGTCCACCTTTACGTTGTAGTTATCCTGAGGACAACCATCTTATGCCCACCACATGAATCCATTAAGAACCCTTGACAAGAACTCTCTTATTCAAAAACTGTTTCAATTCTGGGATTAAGAGAACGCATCTTCGAGATGAGGGAGAACAGAACACGGAGAAATTCCTGCCAATCTTTCGTCAACTCTGGGTTGCTTCTTCATCTAGTTCAGTATGCCCTTTTCTGTTGGATCCCTTAAGATGCATAAGCTAAAGGGGTATGAGGAAGAACGAAGTAACCGATAGCTAGCCCACCATCCTGTGGTAGCTGGTTTAACGAGTTCATGGGTGCTCCACCTACATCTTATGCAAAAGAAGCGAGAAGAAGAAGACTCGATCGGAACAGCATAAACCTAGAACGGACCTATGTCCCTGCAAAACCGCGAGCTTGCGGACTTCAGATGTTTCCATCTTGTTAATGGTTGGTGTTCGCATGAAGAATCATGAGTAAGATAAGCGGCCGTGCAAAATTAATAGGACCGGAAAGAGGAGAACTACTAGTGCATCTTTACAGTAGTCATAGGCAAGCGTGCACCCAATAGCTCCCACTTCCTGTGGCTCCACGTGACACACGCGGATAGCAACTTTACTGGCACAGGCGCAGGAGCAGAAGCAAGCAGCCGCTGCTGCTGCTGCTGTTGCTGCCTACCGACTCTTGTCTTCATGTGGATGTTTTGTTTTCGGACCCCTCGAATGAGACGCATCTGAGGAAGCAGCCAAGCAGGCAACGAAAGCGACGCCGACAACAGCACCGGCAACAGCACCGACAACAGCACTGACAACAGCACCGACAACAGCACTGACAGCAGTACCGGCAACAGCACCGCCAACAGCACCGACAACAGTACCGACAGCAGTACCGACAACAGTACCGACAACAGCACTGGCAACAGCACTGGCAACAGCACTGGCAACAACAGCGACAGCAATGTCACTGTCAGCGCTGACAGCAACAGCACTTCTAACAGCAGCGACGTCAACGGTACTGACAGCAATAGCACTGAAGGCAACAGTACTGGCAATAGCAGCGACAATGGCACTGAGGGTGCCAATAGCACGAACGCAACATCAGCTGACAACGACACTGACAGCAACAGCACGGCTGGCAACAGTTCCGGCAACACTACCTTGGAGACAAATGCCACCAGCAGCAACAGCAGCAACGCCAGCAATGCAACAGACAATGCCACAGAGGCGACTAATGTTACGAACGAAGCCGGCAGCCTCCTGGTGGCATTGACACGTCATGCTTAAAGGCTTAAGGGATCTTGGAGCGAGGAAGTGCTTCGGGCTGAAAGTACATGGGGGCTTACGAAAATAGGGACCCCCCGATAAAGATCCGCTAATTGTAGGATCCTGTACGAATAATCTAATGAGGACCCCAATAAGGTACCCCTAATTTCGGACACCGCCACATGGATGTTTCTGAAAGCAGGGTTCAACCGTAAATTTGTTGAACTGTGCGAGTCAGGAGAGGCAGCTACACATGCCCTCGAACAGAGCATAGCAAGTGTCCGGCCATACCAACTCTCTGTTCTCGGCCCTGCTTTGCAGTCCTGAGATTGGCCTTCCAGGTGGAGAGCAGGGCAATGAAAGCAAAATAGAAGGAGTGGGTGTGCCGTGGACGCAAGCAGATGATTGTCTTCAATCAGGATGCAAAGTAGTTCCGCCAACGACAAGATGGCTTCCTAGTGTTTCGAAAAGATACGTTGCTCAAACGCTGGTACACGCTTGCGCGCGGGCCGTCTCGGCAGCCGGGCCCAATGCGGGGTGCAGCCTCCTGGAGGTGGCACACTGCCGCAGGTAGAACGTTCTGTTTGGTGGACGAGAGTTGTATGTCACGTGGTGCAGCACGCGCCATCATGAGTTCAGGAGGTAGGAGGGCTTCAAGGGGGGGGAAGGGGGGCCAGGAAGGTGCCGGGAGTCGCAGCATCGGATTCCGCAAATTTGCCTAGGGGAAAGGTAAGAGACCAGATCCTCGTCTGCTTGTTCTGGACGCCTCTCGGCCCGAAGCCGAGGCGAATTTCCGCTATAGACCCCGCCGTCCGTCACAAGCGGTTGAAGTTCGACAGAAGAGTCGTTGTAGGCGTTAAGAAAACAACTTTGCGACCATGCCTGTGAGAAGCGCGAGTACTTGTAAACGCTTGCGCGCGCCGCCTCGGCAGCCGGGCCGGTCCCAGGACAGGAAAGGAGGAAAGAGGGTTTCGCAAAAAAAGGGGAGGAAGGCAGAGTGGGTGGGGGGGGGGGGTCGGGGGGGGGGGGGGGAGGGGGGGGGGTGAGGGGGGGTGGGGGGGGGTGGGGGGATGGGGGGGGGGTGGGGGGGGTGGGGGTGGGGGTGGGGGGTTTTTGAGGCACTCCCCCTGTAGGAGCCACCGACAAGCGGGACCCTCCACGGCATCGGTTTGCAGCTCCTCCAAGGGATTGGGGGGGGGTCCCACAGGGCGGGGGGGGGGGTGGCGTCAGAAAATTTGGTATGGGGGGAAGGGTTGGGTTAGGGGGAAGGAGGCCCGATCCGGGTCTGCTTGTTCCGGACGCTTCTCGGCAGGAAGCCGAGGCGAATTCTTGAGCAACTACGAGAAGAGCCGTGGCCCAGCGACGTGTTCCCATGCGAGGTTTGCCCGAGTGGAAGGGAATGACTCGGGTGTGAACACTCCCTAACAGGCCCTAAGAGCCCGACAAATTGACAAAGGTTACATGAGTTTTCTGAGTTCCAGCCCCTGGCCTGTGCCCACTTTGGCAGGCCTTTCTACCCGATGAAATCGGAGAGTCGGAGCATAGGATTGAAAGACGGTGCTACCTGACTTCCGAGGAAGCCGCGGCTTCGGACAAAGAGGCTGGGGAGGAGCTCCCTACAACTTGAACACTCTGAAAGACCGTTCAGATACCAGATACTGTCAGATACTTGTATCCTTTGCAGTCTATGTGTTTCATGAATTTCCGGGTCGAAGTCTTAGTGTACCAGTTTTGAGCTTGCCATTCGATTAGCTTTTTTGTCGCTTGCTGCCAGGGCAACACCTCGTCCGAGAACACCACGAGCGCAGCAAAGGACGAGAACGCCACGAACGCAAGCAGTTGTCCCTTGCCATGCACATGGGCTTTGAGGACATCTCGTTTGGACCTAGCTCGGAGGTGTACTGTTGTGAACCTGCCATGCGGCTCACATGTGCGACGTCGATGTAACGTGTAAGCTTTGCTCAGAGTCTCAGCAGCTTCGCCTGGTATGCTCAAGAGGGAGTCCTGAGCTTCGATGGGCAAAGCACTTCGACAATTTGCAGCTCCTCCATTCCTCCATCCCAAGCCCTACAAAGTCCCCTCGCTGACTGAGGATCTGAGAAGCGTTTAGGTGCGACAAGGGCACCGAAGTGGATTTGGCGAAGTGACTGTCCTGTGGAAAATGTCACAAGATGCTAGCAAGCAACAACCAACTAAAGCTTCGACGGTTTGTGCTGTGCAGCATTTTCCACAATGCTTGCTTTGGCAGACGGCTCTTAGCGCTGAGGGTCGAGATGACAAGCAGCGGGGTGTCGGACGCCTTTAGTCTCTGACATCCGGTGCTCCTTAGTGCTCCTTAGTGCTCCTTTGTGCTCCGGAGCGCTCCTTAGTGCTCCTGTGCCCGCTTGGCCCAACCATGTTCCACTACACCCTTAGAAAAGCCCAGGGCTTTGCTGCGATCGAGGCAGATGCGGTCCAGGAAGCTGGTCACAACCGTGTCTCACCGCTTGAGCATCAGTTTTGGTCACCTTGCGCCAGTAGGTGTGCAAGTACACGGAGATACCGTTGGCTGAGATTGTACCTGCAGCTCTACACCGAAAGCTCCCCGAAGTAACCCCGCAGATAGGTGCAGAAATTACAGCCACATCCCACGAGAAATCTGCACGTCAGCGGGGGCTTGTTTTGCTGGTGCCAGAAGCGCAGTGGAAACAAAAAGCTTCTGCAAATTATGCGGCCGAACACGTCTCTCAGGCCAATTCTCCTGTAGTGGTGCAAAGGTTCAGGGCCATGCCTGCAGAGTGTACTGAAGGTCTGCGACTTGGACCGGAAGGATGTGAACTTCGACCTGATCAAGGCACACATGTCATGCTCCCAAGGGTGAAGCCGGAAGGCTGAATCCTGAGCGAAACCCGAACCGCTGAACCGACAAGCCATCCCGGGCGGATTTCTTCTCCGGTAGGTCAAGGGCATGGACGCACACCGGCATGGTCTGCACTGTGAGAGTAAGAGACCAACATGCATCCGTCACTGGAGCCCTGCACCCCTGTGTCTCGCCGGAGGTGGAGGGCAAGGTGGGTGGAAAGCTCGAGGAGTCCGGGCATAAGAGAAACCCAAGAATGGGTGCGCAGGGGGCTGGGGCCAAAGGGAGGCTTACAGGCTTAGAAGGTTGATGGCTGATCACGTCGGCTCCAGCGTTTAGGAACTCCACATCCGAGGCTGCAAGCCCCGAAACCTGTGACTCGAACCTGAGATCCGCAGGACACCTGCCTGATCCAGGGCATTGTTGTCGACAAAGACTTCAGCCATCCTCAGATGCCGAAGAAGGTCCAGGCGGGCTCTCTGCACCTTTGAGTTCTGATTTCTAACAGCCTGGGCACACTGAAGTGCGAACCCTAAACCCTAAGCCCTAAACCCTATAAACCCTAAACCCTAAACCCTATACCCTGAACCCTAACCCATAGATCCCGGGCGCTGGAGGATGCCAAAATGGCCATCCTCACCTGCCCCTTCGAGCCCCCCAAGCCGCTTGGCCGAAGCTTGCAGAGGGCTCCCTGTAGCGCTGGCAGAGGCGGTTTGTGTTGCAGCTACCCTGAGAGACTCCTTCTCGTCATGCTGGATCATGAAAGACTCTGGTGCAACTGCGCAGAGGGTCTTCAGTTAGGCAAGCTCTCAACGGTTCAGAGCTCCGGGTCTTGCTGGATTTCTTGAGCGTTTCGGATGTCCAGACATCTGCCACAACTCAAGAGCTGTGGTGTTCTTGTGCCCGAGAGCGGTTCTGATGGTCTTCGAGACATGTCGAGGTCGGGGTTCTCAGTTGAGTTTATGACATCGATGTCTCAGTTGCAAGTTCCTCAGGATGGTAGAGGACGGTCTGCTTCCCTTGTACAACACCACACACACACACAAAGTCCTGCTTGTGGCATGGCTGGCGCGCACAGCTCTGAGTGCAGCAGTTACATGCAGAGCACACTGTAAGGCCAAAGACCAAGCACAAGCTCGACATCCGCACCGGCGAGGATTACAAGAAGCTCTACGAGCACGAGCAGAAGTGCACTGCCCGGTCGATCCTGCAAGCCCAATAGAGTCAATAGAGTGCACAACAGCATCCGATGCTCCTCCATTTCGGATGCTTCTGAGTCAGTGGATGGCACAGCTGCGTGCCCAGAGTCACGAAAATCTAGGCGCGCTTCTGACAGGTATTTTCGGGAGCAGATTCGACTCATCAAGGACCTTGCTAGTGCCACACAGTGAGAGAGAGAGAGAGAGAGAGTGTGTGTGTGTGTGTGTGCGCGCGTGCGTGTGCGCGTGCCTGTGCGCATGCGTCTCCGCTCTCTTGCCTGCATTTAAGCTTGCTGGCCCACTTCTGGCTAGATTGTCGTACTTTATGAGCCGCAGGTGTGAGTTCACAATATCCTAAGCAGGGGCGTCAATAAAGCTTGGACCTATGATTGCACTTTCAAGAGCGCCCTGGCCATGTTGCCTATCAGAATCTATCAGGGTTGTCATGCCAAGTTGTTAAAAAAGATTTCGAGACAGGAGTCCGGTGCGAATCTGGTGATCTGTCAGTGGGGCTTCGATGACGAGGCGGGCGCATGGGAACAACATCCGAACATCAGGGATCGGTTCAGCCATCAGCCAGCCCAGACCTGCAAACGTCGTTGCAAAACCGAAGTCTTTCTTTGTGAAAGAGGCGGCCCGACAACCTTGCATTCCCCAAGCTGATGTGCAAAGTAACGTGACCACCTTGTCCCAATGAAAGTTCAGCTAGGAGTTCCGGCTTAAATATGCCGTTGTCGAGTAAAGCAAGGTTTTCCTCTCTGAAGACAGGCCAACCATCTGCTCTTCCAAAACAGCCTTCCAGCAGTCAGGCCAGCTGCACGTACCAGCAGAATCCATAACTATTCAATCTTCTCTTCAAAGTTGCAAGGCCCTGAATCGTTGGGCAATTTAAGGTATGTTAAGGTTGCTACATGAAAAGTCGAGGAGGCTTCTTGACCAAGCTAGGTGTGACCTCGATTGTCATGCTGCTAGGTGCGGCTGATGGGAGCACTTCGGTAGCTTGTAGCTTCGACAGCCGGGTGAACGCACCTAGGCAGGGTTGGAGGCAAGACTCCGGGGTATGGGGTGCCGGGCTTTCAGGTTGCTCGCGCGAGCTAGAAACAAACCTTTGGATGGCTTGCCTGGCAATTGCCCGAATCGAGCGGAAGGCCGAGGCCTGTAGGACTCTTCAATGCGGTCCCCCTGTGCTTTCTCAGAACTGTAGTCAGGCACTCCGCTGAAACTCAACGCCTGGGCCTAGACCCCAAGTCCAACATGCTCAGCTCTTGAGGTGGGTCGGCGGTGTGGAGCTGGAGCTCATTGCAATCGCCACGGGTGGGAGGAAAGTGGGTTCTTTTGCTGGAGAAGTGTCAGGGTTGGCAGCTTCTCGGCATGAGGCCTACAGGAGCCTTTAGCTGTGAGGTCAGTCGACTTGTTGAATCGGCAATATCGCTTGAAGTTGCAGGGTAGTGAAAGGACCCTCCACTGTGTTCACAGGTGCGGGCAGAATCGAGTACACCCGAGCACACACTGCAAGTAATATCGATCGCAACCTTCCGAACCAAAGCCCCCCTGCCAAAAAGACCGGAAGCACCCAAGCTCAACCGCCAGGATCGTTCCACGTTTTGAGGAGTTGACTGCCGACAAGCTCGGGAAGGCAGGGGTGCAGAGGGCAGTTGTGGAGCCATACGAAGTGTTTGTACTTCCGTCAGATCACTCACATCACGAAGACATCTAGTGTCAGGGGATTTGGGGTTTGTCATATCGAGGAGGGTGTTCCACGTTAGGGAAGGGTCGTACAGGGCACACTCTTCCGAAGAGGAAATTCAAGGCCGAGCCACGCACAGCAACCTCCATGGTCAGCTAGCCGTAGGAAAGCGCAAATCACAGGCGCGCGAGCAGCAATCATCCCAAGACCCTGTAGCACGAAGAACTTCTGAGGCAATGCCCTCTGCATCTTCCATAAAGCCCCGCCGCAGCCTGGATCCCGCAGTTCCTAAGCCCCTAAGCCCTAAGCCCTCAGCCTCTGTCCCAAGAGCCTGGAAGCGCCGAGGCTGGGCTGGTGCGTGAGGTCACCTTCGGCACGATGAAAGAGCAAATGCTCATCATCGAGGTGACGGGGTCAAAAGTCCGGAGATTGAAGTTTGCAGGAGGTGTTAGACGGTGTTCTACGACTTTGTGTTCGGGCAAGACTGCATTGGGGGGAGGGGGGGGAACCGTCGATTTTCGAAAGCCGGGGATTTTCGGAGCGACCCAACTCGGCCAGGAGTGTGGCAAGAGCAAAGCGGTCACTGTGCTTGTCCGTGGCGGCAACCAGATGGCGGGCCCGGCTTGGTGTGCTTCAGGTACAATGTACTCCATCTCCGGGCTCTATCTTTGGTGGAGGGTGGGTTTGTTCGGGTGGTGATCTGCCAAGTCCTCGAGCGCAGTTGAACACTGCAGCTTTATGTGGCGAGACTTTGGGCTTCTTTTGGCGGGAGAAGCTGAACTACCCAGTCTATATGATAGGATTTAAAGTAGGATAGTGCACGACAGCACGCGCATCACCACCTGCACTATTGTGGTGCGGCCAGAGAGCCATTGAATTGCAATCTGCACATTTCGACTTCGTTCTCGGTGGCCGTGCAGGTAGTGGATGAGGCAAAAAGATGTCTCCATGATGCAAACTGCTGCGTCAGGACTCCTGTGTGTTGCATAAACAATGGCCCAGAACGAGGTTCTTCTTCTCAGACCCGTGAAGCTAGTGATCGGGGTACGGAAGAGCTCTCTTACAGAGGCCCTTGAAGCCCAAGAACTATTCTGGCAAGAACATGAAAGCCCACTGTCAGATCCCAGTCCCCTATAAGAAACCTTACGCCCCCCCCCCAGCTTGGCGGACCCCAACGCAAAAGATCTAGCTCTGTGTAGATCAGATGCTTGAAGCCCAAGATAAGAAGCCCAAGATAAGTTGTCGACCCGCAAGCCGGTGTGGTGGACTTCGGGATTTCAAGTTTTCGTTCCCTCTAGATGATCCTGGATGTTCGATCTGGGTTTGTTCGTGCAGGCTTAGGATCGCGCTTTGTGCTGTGTTGTACAGAATGGTAGACGCGGTTTTGTGCGGAGTGTAGACTGTGCAGTCAGTGCAGTCAGTGTAGTCGATACACATAACTTGCCGTCTGCATCTTGCAGGAATCTAATTCGAGATCCCCGAGTGGTTCCGGGAGGAGGCTGGGCCAGGCTTCTGCGAGTTGGGTACGTTGGGTACAGCATAATCTCTGTGCGAAGTTGAGTTATCAGTCTGAGTGAGATCCTGCTGGAAGAGGAGCTAGCGAGATGGCAGCTTCGTTGGCAGTTTTGGCAGCTGCAGACAAGGAGATCATTTTCGCGGTTGGGTTGGGATTTTCTGGTCTGAGAGTTCAGGAGCCTTGTCAGGTTCCGAGGGAAAGCCGGGCTCGCTGATGGTTTATGTGACAGTGCCCAACGTGACATGATGAGAGAAGAATTGTGCCGGTAGCGCGTACCCTCAGCGTGTGCGTGAGATCTCAGATCAGCTCGGGGCATGGACTGCAAGGATGTGAGCAAGCAACACCTTCTTAGCTGGAGGAGTGGTCGACACACTCCCTTTCGGCCACAGGCCCACCTTACTAGGCACCTGTACGCTCTGGGGCCACCCTCCAGGACTTTCCTATAGGATACCTTGAGAATCAAAGTTTCCTTCTCGGGCCATGGAGACGCCACGGCGGAAGCCGCGGCCCAGGGAGGATCGGCTGACAGATGAGAAGGTGACCAGGCCGCGAAGAAGCGAGCCACCCGGCAAAGGATCCGAAATCTTCACGTGAGGAGAGAGACATTGGAGCATGAATTCTTTACCATTCCGGTGTCGTTGTCAATGTGGATTTGCAAGCTTACCGATTACCCATGTTGCCGCTCTGGTCTTCTTGACTTTTGAGAGCTTGAGCCAGTGCCTTGATCCCTTAATCCAGACCCGTGTAGTACCTTGACCGCGCCAAGCAGAGTACCCTTTCCTGAAGTTGCCAGCAATGCCGGCAGGCTAGATCGTGCCAGAACATAATACCTGCTTCAGTAAAGCGTTGCAGGCTAAGCCACCCCAGTGGCTTTCCCGCAGCCAAGGCTAACTGAGCTGGACAAAGACGCCAGCGGAAAGCTGCAGAAGCCCTCGCAATCAGAGCAGCAGAAGGAGGTTGAAGCAAGCCTTGCTGAGCGGCTCACACCCGAGCAGCGTGCAAAGTTCACCGACATGTACAAGAAGAAGCTCCAGGGTCTGAAAGCCTTCAGTGCGCGCGGGCCAGGTTTCCCAAAGCCGTGGAATAACGTAAGATGGATCGAGAAACGGATGGAAATGCACGTTTACTGCATGTAACCTTAGAGCTGGCTAGCCATGGATTGAGCAAGCACCTGGTACGGCGCAACCTCTTTGGGCTAGCTATGTATTGAGCAGGCACCTGGTACGTGGTCCAGTTCCCTTTTGGCCGCCTCCAGCTGGAGAGGCGCTGCTTGGTCACTGATTGGCGCATACTTTGTCAGCTTATGCCACTTCCTCGCTTCAGTCCTCAACCGGCCGGGAAATATCCAACAGAGCAAAACAGAGAAGGGACATATTTGGGCTTGTTAGAAACACCAGAATTTCAGACCTGCTGAGTTGCTCAGATGCCCCTCCGGCCGACTTGAACTTCTCTCAAAAGGCAGACAGGATGGTGTTATCTAGCATCGAATGCACCGAGGACTTGCACGTTTCAAAATTCAAGGTACACTCGACGGGTTTCAGCCCCACAGAAATGCGTCGGTGCCTTTCCATCATCCCCTTATCCAACACCCTGTTGTAGTACCTTGATCCCTAGCAGCTCTAGCATCTTCCTACTATAGCGCTTGGCCAAAGCCCCGCGCCAAGCACCACTCTTTGCTGAAGTTGGTCAGAATTCCACTCGACAGCGCACCAGAGCATAATGCCTTCTGTAGTACAGTGTTACAGCCCCGAGCTACCTCAGCTGCTTTCTCTCGCAACCAAGGCTAACTGAGCCGGACACAGACGCCAGCGTAAAGCCACAGGAACCCTCGCTGTCCGACCAGCCGCAGGAGGCGGGAGCTGCCAGACATTTCAGACACGGAAGCATTGAAAGCTTGGTTTGTTTTTTCACTCTTATCTGTCAGGTCAGCACCTTGCCAGAGGGGTCCGAAGGGTTCCTTGACTTCCAGATGGCTGGGCAGCTTGGCTGAAATGATCGGCCCTTGCATGAAAGACTCTCAATATCAACCAACGGATCCGGACTCTCAGCAGTTTGCCCCCCAGGAAGACCTACCGCATCCTCGACGCTGCTGCCTTCATGCACCTTGCAAGGCACGCTTTCCGCTGAATGTTGAGGCCAATGGGTTTTGAGCTTTGGAATCACTGCTTTGCAGTGTTTTGCAGTGCAGGAGTCCGGCACTGTCAGTGGCTCCCAATCTGGAGCAGGGCGACAACCTGGAGCCGAAGCGGGATGCAGTCAGCGTGAGCCCCCGCAAAACGCTTGCGGAGTTCAAGGCGAAGTGGCGGCAAAGTAGAGGAGCTTCAAAGTAGAGCTTCTTCGACTTCAGCGTTGTGGGGTTTACGAAAACAGGGGACCCCTAGTATAGATCCCCAAATGGTAGGATTCCCTGAAAATATGAACCCCAAGACGGGGACCCCCATTTTCGGAAACCCCCAGCTGTACATGGTACAGTTGGGGTGAAGCACATGACGCTGAGTCCATCCGAGACTGTAGTGTGTCATGTCGGGGGAAGCTTCCGGAAAGCTTCCTACGTTTGAGGCCTCAGCTGGGTGAGGTTCTCTTTAGCACAAAGCCATGTGTGAGCTTCCGGGGAAAGAAAAGAGACAGGGTGGTGACCTGCGAATCGGGTTGCAAGGGGCGTGAGCTGGCAGAATTTGTTCAAGCGTCATGCCCCAAGCTTCCGACATGTAGAAAGCGTGCTCCCCCCTGCATTGCTGCTGATGTGCTTTGCACTGCTTTGAGAATTTGAGAGAACATGCTTTTGAAGTGCCTCGCATTGCCCCCGCTTTGCCTTCCCAGGAGCAGACCATTGATCAGTGCGCGTCCGGCCTTCCTTCGGCCAGAGCAGCCACGTTAACATGACACGGCTTCACCCAGAACTCATGTGGCAGACTATGAGCACATCTCAGCACAACATCGTCTGAGCGTTGCAGGGCCTTCCATTTGCAGGAAGCAGCAGAGAGCCTTGCTAAAAATTTCAGGATGATGGTCGTACATGTGTGTATCAGGAATTGACATGCATCAACGATTTCTTGCACATCCCTCCCGGGTGGAGCACCCCACCCCCGCGTCCCTGATCTGGGTGAGGTACAGCATGAAAGGCTTCGCGTCAGCGCTCGACGTCATTCCCATGGTCCGCTGCCTGTGTCGCAAGCCGTTCTTGTTCGGGTCAATGCAGATCCCATGCCACAAGGCAGCTCATTGTCGGCAAGTCCTATGTGGTTGTCAGGTTGTGCCATGACCGGTCCGGATGCACCCATGTCCGTAGAGGTCGCACGCGGTAGGTTTCCAAACTCCATCCAAGCCTCGAAAAACCTCTGGTCTCAAGCCTGCAACGATCTGCAATGCAGCTACATCCGTTGGCCTACGTTCCACACCTTTGCATGGAGCCTCTGAACATTCAGAATCCTTGTACCTCACTTCAACCCTCAAAGCATCTCAAAGCATCTCAAAGCCCTCACGGCCCTCAAAGCATCTCAAAGCCCCCCCCACCTTTAATGCTGAGAACGGCCTCAAGAAGCCCTAAGCACCCAGTCAGACTCAAGGCGCTCGCCGAGAATAGCGGCCTGCAGGGGATTGCGGAGATGGCGAAGCTCAAGGCTCCAAGGGCTATTTTACAGTTCCGGCCCTTTGAGTCCCAGGGTTCGCAGGTTTATGGGCCTTTAGGTTTCGAGTTTCCGGGTTATTTTGGAGTGGGAAGGCTTCTCACACCTTTATTCAGATCAGCTTTTTCGGCCCAAAAGGGCCAAGGGTCAGGGTGGAAGAGAGTCGTCTGCGTGCATCTCAGCGCCTGCCAGGCTATCCAGGAGACGTCTGGAAACGCCTGGCATGGCCATCGGCTCAAGCAGTGATGTTTGTAGTGAACGTTGCTTTTTCTTTGGCTTGTGCGGACTTGAGAAACGAAGTGGGATTCAGCAGCATGGGGCTAGGCAAGTCTTTAGGTTGAACGGCTTGTGCTTAGATGTTGCACCCTCACCTTGGACAAGGCATGAGGCAACCGACACTTAGGCTGGCAACTGCTGTACCTGTAGCGGACCTCGTTGTATTCAATAGTTCTGTAACGGCTCAGGTGTCGACTGCATGCAGACCGGGACGACGGACATGTGGGCACAGAGCATCTACGAGGCGAGCCTGATGGCGAGCTTGATGGGCGTGAAACATGGCGGGTGTTTGCTGCCGTTTGAGCCAGCTGTTTACATGTGCTATTCTCCACTTGCCTAACCGACCGATCCCAAACGGGTACGAGCCTTGCGGGTTGAGACTGTCGGACTGTCGTTCTGGACGCCGAAGCGGATGCAGTGAGAAAGGTGCTCGCTTCACGCGATCATGAAAACATGCAATGTTCACGAAACAAGGCTCCAGAATCACAGGGCGCAAAGCTCTCTCTCTCTCTCTCTCAGGGTGCTCGCTCCTTGAGGCATTCCGTCCATTCGCCAGAACTCGGCACTTAAGCCCCCTCACCGCTGAGGCGTGCGCCTCGAAAAGCTCCCAGCTTCGCTTAGCCACCCAGGTGCCGAGCTTACGAAGCTGGTCCAAGCAACCGTTCAGGACGCCTAAGTTGACCAGGAGGGATTTCGTGCGATTCGTTTTTGGATGATGACTAGGGCTTCTTCAAAAACCCGGTGGCATCTCAAGCCCAACCAGTAAGAGCAAACGAATGCGTCCGATGAGGGCTTGATGTCCCAGCTGTGAGCTGAAATCATGCAGCTGTTTGCAGACATGCGCATCATGTTCATGAGATGGAAAGAAACTCTGGGGTTCATGGCTGGCTGATGGCTGCGATACAGTAGTTGCAGTTGCCAGGTCGCTCAAACAAAACCCAGAGGCCCCATTCAAACCGGCGAAATTATGCCCTCATGATTCCTGCTGCAGACACACGAGTTGCAAGCCACAACCGGGAAAGAATTCTTTTTTTCTTCTAAGTGCACAAACAAGTCGAGGCCCCACCAAGGTCGGACTCCCATGCATGGCCCCAACAAGTCTGCCGCATGGGCTGAAAGATCTGCAAGCCGGCTCTACCTTGCACGATCCTTTAGGGTCAAGGGCGAAGGCGATGAACACTTGTGCCCCGAAACCTGCCTCGATGTAATTCAGGGGCTCTAATGACTGAGTGCTGGTCGTGCCCTCCATCTCAGGTCGTAAAGATGATCTTGAAGATCGACGACGTGCTCACCACATCCGACGTCATCGATGAATAGTCGACGCGTCCATCTCGCAGCTGCCGCTGCGCCCTAACGTAGCCAGGATTGCAAACACACGCGAAACCCAGAGCCTAAGCCCGAAGACAAGCCCAGGCTCTTCATGAGTTCGAGAGAGTCCAGTAGATCTGCACTGCCCACAGGCTTTAGGACTCTAGATGCACAAAAACTCCCAAAGAGGCAGTGAAGAAATTGTAGGTTTGGGGGGTTCCAGGTGTAGCGCTGGCCCTGTCGACAGCAGTGTTTTCAGGGCAGTGTTCCCTGGCGGCGGCATGCAAAGCCAAAAGGGCGAAGATGCGTGGCTGATGTGTGGCTGACGTGTAGGCGTGAGGTGCATGATGGGCCTCTGCATACTCAATCAGACGAGCATGCAAAGTTTGTGTTTACCTCGCATCGTAGACTACCAATGCAATCGGTCAGCAGGTGAGAATGGTTTAAGGAGAGCAGAGTGCACAAAACAACCTGCCCCCTGCCCAACCGCAGCGAATGAAGTGCGACCACTGTCTGTCGAAGGGGCCCTTGCAACGTTCGCAGAATGATCGTACTATGCCTCTTCAATCGTAGAAGCTGAACAATGAACAGACAAAACTTCTAAGTATTCAGATGTTGATGCAGAAGCCAGGCGGGTTGCCAGGTTTGACGGTTCGGGCTGCTGGTGCTGTGATATTGCATGAGAAGCCGGATCGCGTAAGGCTCGAGAGCTAAACCATGGTTTTGCATTTCGTCCTCACAGCCTGGACAGTTTCGATAGTTTCGGTGCTGGGCCAGGTTCAAAGCCGCGAGGATGCTTTGCTCTGTGCAGCTGAGCCCTGGGGGCGTTACTCCGCAAGTGGCGGCCTGTACACTGCCAGTGGCGTGCAGTACATTTATAGCTTTGGGGGAGATACGAGAAGCCACGGGGACGAGCGTGGAGGCGTGGTCAGCACCAACTGGCGATTTCGGCTGGGTGGAAATGGAACAAAGTGTTGGGAGCGAGTTGCAGACAGCCCTGCTGCCGTGGGCTACCGCAGCACAGCTACAGCGCTGAATGACCATGTCTACCTCTTTGGCGGCGGCGACACCAGCTTTGCTGCCACGGGCCATTTCTGGCGGTACTCGCTGCTTGGCGACAGCTGGGAAGAGATGCTTCCTTCGCAGGTTGTGGGCCCTTGGCCTTCAGCACGCTACAAGCACGCCACGGTTAAGATCTCAGAGACACGCATGCTGCTTCTGGGTGGTCGGAGGGACGCCACTGTCTTGTCTGATGCATGGTTGTTTGACCTTGATCAGATGGCCTGGTCGTTGGTAGGCGACAGCATCTTGCAGGTTTATCGCCATGGCATGGCCTATGATCCACTTCGGCAGGTCGTGTGGATCCATGGCGGCCTCGATGGGAATAGGCAGCGCTACGGCACGCAGCTGTGGCGCTGGAACATTTCAACGTTCGACTCGTCGCACCTTGAGCTTGCTGAGCTTGTTCCGACGACGGGCCCCGGGCCCAGCCGTTTGGCATCACATGCCGCTGAGTACATCCCAGAGCTCGACGCTTTGCTTTTTTGGGGTGGCACATGCTCCGATGACGCCCAGCTGTACCTCTACGATATTGCAAGAAGTGCTTGGTGTGCAGTTTATGCCGGAAACCGCCCTGACCGGCGAGATGCCATGATTTGGGCATTGGATTACCCCAGATTCTACGTGGCCCAAGGGGATCTGATTTGCCACAACTTCGGAATCTATCCCATCGTTGATGTGCATGTCTTCGACTTTGCAGCTCCTTGGGCGGGCTGGCAGATGCTGTACGAGCCACGGAATGAGCGTGGCACCGGTGCTGAGGCATATTGTGACGGCACCAACAGGGGATCTTGTCAGCCACAGCCGTTGCTTGCAGAGAGAGGAACTCGCATCAGCCAGCCCGCTGGATGTGAGAGCGGCTTCATGGATTCCATCTCGACCTGGGCGAACACATCAACAACAACAACTGTAGCGGACGAGGTTTCAAGTACATCCAGTCCAGCTTTGTCCCGAGCTTCGGCAAACGCCGGCAGAGCCGCCGTCGTGTCTGCTTGGGTACTTTCGGCTACAGCTCCGCTTTCGCAATAGCCGCCTCAGGAAAAGTGTCTGCGAGCCACCTCGCCTGGTTTGAAGCCCCCTTCTGCAACTCACTCACTCACAACCCCTTGCACATGAGTCTCCTGCCATTCTGATCTGGGTTTAGCTCTAAGGGTCATTGTCATGCTCGCCCGAACGCAAGCGGACGAAGCGAGCTGTAGTCATACATGGATTACCGGGCATCCCCTCAGTCCCCAACATCCTTCCTAAAGTTCAAGCATGCCACCAGTACTAGGGGTGCTGAATGCGCCCCTGGGCAAGGATTGCCCGTCTGGGCGCCGGAGGCATGCCGAGGCACCCAGACACACCACCAGCAGCCAACTCTTCCCTGGGCTTTGGAAGAAAACCAGCAGAGAGCGGTGAGCTCTTTTGTCTTTACGCATTGCAGGAGTAAACACGAAATCATCTGATCTGAATGACTCTCGGTGACTTGGTGGGGGCCTGGGAGAGAGGGAAAACCCCTAAACCTTAAGCCGGGGGAGAGTAAAAAAGATAAGGAGTCGCATCGTGCTGCTTCGGCCATTGGGGCTCCAGGTATCGCCTCAGGCATGACGTTCAGTGACATCTCATGTAGCAGAAGTCAAATCGATCTCTCTCGAAAGACATTTCTTACGAGCTTTGGTTCTTTAGACGCCAGCCTACCGGTACTCCAAGTCTGGCGGGAAATGAGAGTCTCTCCGGAAATGTCTGCACTTTGCAACGAAGAGGACAGCTCTGCTGACTTCACTGTAGGAATCTGTAGGTAACCCCTTGCTTGCAGTAAATCGCGACAGCGCCATAGATGGAGGCCGGCCAGCGCCAGCCCCAGTGTCAAAGTGGGCACCTTTCGTAGGCGTATTCCCCAGGGCAGGTGCGTCGTTTGCTTGGAGACGGTTTGCAGTATGGGACATTTAATGGTAGAGCGGGATGAGAAAGTCAAGTCTGAGACCTCGGTCCGGCATGAACCGGATTCCTGTCGAGAGTAGGCTGACGCTGTGTTGCTCGTGAGCATGACCGTGGAGTGAGGGGCCTCCGAAATTGGATCTTGGTTTCGAATTTCAGCTGTCATGCACTCCGCTGTATTCAACTTGATGTTCACTCGGCTGTGCCGGTGCCACTGCCAAGGTCCCATGGATCAGCCGCGCCCTCCAGCTGCAGGTGCCGATCCGATGGGTCTTTCAGGGCGCACCCACAACACCACACAACACCCTCGGCCCCTTGAGCTCAAGAAACCCATATTGCGGCATGTTATGCCGCGAAGGCCAGTCCATGCCCCATGCTGTGACCGTGCCGGAAGATGGAGCCAGGTCGAGTCTTCGCCGTGCTGCTGCGCTCACACTGCTGGCCACGGGATCTTGTGATGGATTCAGGGTTGGGGTGCATGTCAGGGTAGTTAGAGTATCTCGATCTGTGGAGTGTTGAGTTTATGCCCCCCGCAACTTGCGACGGTGATCAACACAGAGTTTGCTCTCAAGCGTGTAAACCCCACAGCCCAAAGACCAGGAACCTGCCCACCAGGTAGCGGCATGGCCACAGACCAGCCTCCAGTTCTGCGTGCCAGGCAGGTTCGGCTTAGGGGTATAGGGATGTTAAAAAATTTTGGGCTTCGCCACTGTCGATGGAGAGTGATTGTTCTCTCCCACACCGGACCTGCCACGATTCCTGCCCAGCAATGTGTGCTCGATGGTTAAGGAGCGCTTGAAGGAACATTGATGATAGGCGACACTGAACCTCTACGTACTCCAGCGCGGTAATTGATACCAGCTGCCTAAGCCTTGCCATCGTTGTACTCGGTTGAAGACTGCTTGGCGTGGAGTAGGTACACAGCAGGAAGGGTACGGAGTGAGTCCAACGTCTGATGCCCTCCCAAACCAGGCACCTGGTCAGCTCAAAGATCCCGATCTCAGTTGCTGCAAACGCAGAGGAGGTGTGCGGGGTTTGATCCTGTGTGTTCGCGGTGAGCGTGTTTGCTTGGGCTGGAGTTCGAGCGCTTGAGTCAGGAATGTTACACTTTGCCAGCAAAGCCCCATGCGTGTCTTGACCCTCAGAACTTCGAGTACAGTGGTTCGTTTTTGAGGAGCTGATGGTTAGAGTGTCGTTTATGACAGTCTAGGCTTCTGGGAAGGTCCATTCTGCACAAAGGTTGTCTTTTGCTGGTCGAAAGATGATGATCCATGGCTTGCTGCATAGCATCCTGCACATGCACACTCTTCATGTGCTCTGTGAAGGTTACACTCCCAAGGTTACACTCCCTCTCACAACCACTCTCTCCTGTCAGGGCGAGGCGTCGTCGCGGTCGGCCAACGCGATTTCGTGGGGTGTTTGAAGCGCTCCCAGAGCCCGAGGCAAGGTTGTCTGGGCAAGTGGGACGGGGCTCCAAAATCCGGTTTTCACAGTCTTTGCCCGCAGTGTTTGTTTCTACCAATGCAGCTCCATGATGGAATCCGAGCCACCCTTTCAGGACCCGCCGTTTCCGCCGGGCATAGATGATCCATTGCCCTGGCCGGAGGAAACTGCCGAGGCGCTGTGCTTGTTTGGCGGGAAGTTTCGTCGAATGCTTAAGATATTTTGGGCTTCGACGACCCATATGTTCGCAAGATCTGCCTTCTTGCTGAGCTCGGGGACAGGTACAGGTTCCTTTGTTGAGTTTGTCAGGAAGATTCATTCCTCGCGGCAGTTTTGGTTTTAGGGTTCCGGTTCGGAGGTCCTGGACTTCCCAGGATGCGTGAGCGCGGAGGTTTGCTTAAGTTGCGAGACGGGCCAAGGCACAAAAGTAGTAGTTGCGCACAGGGGCTACACATCAAGGCAGCAGTCACGGCAGTTTATATCATTCTCGCAAAGCCCTCACTCAGATCATGATCGATGCTCACAGCGTGATTCCCTGGTACTGGTCTGAGACTGCCAAGATTGAGGAGGACGGATCGGATGGATTGAAACAGAGGCTACACGGATATTGGCCGCAGGGACCATTAGTGCAGGATGTCTTGCGGGCTCACGAGGGTAGTTTCAAGATGTGCCTGCCTCCTGCCTCATCCAGAAATGAGCTGTGAGCAGGCAGCACGATGCTACAGCACTCCGTCGCCACCTGCGCACTCAGACCCCCGTAGTTGTAGTGTTTTCGAGGCCGAAGCTAGAGACTGGCAAACGGGCTTTCTTGAGGTGATCCCCAACTTCCTTCTTCCGAGAGGACCTCAACTTGCGCCACGACATGTTTACGTTTTGGCCCGCCCGGATTGCCAAAGCAGGGCAGGCCGGCAAGGAGCATTCAAGGGTGTGGGTTTCGTAATGTTTTGAGCTTTCTGTTTAAAATTGGGACGGTTTGGGTAATGGTTTGGCGGCTTGGGGTCGGGGCTTTGTACAATTTGTTCGTAGGATCGGGGGCGGAGTCATGTCTGAAGGGCTTAGAGGGCTTCGGTTCAATTGGGCATCTCAAAGGACACAGCGAATCACAGATAAACGCAGCTCACCGTCATCGCGCATGAAGCCTCAGTCATGGTAGCCCGCGGTCTCTAGATGGCTGTTTGCAAGCATCTTGCTGCTTTTGGGGGCTACTCGATTGCCCAAATGATCTTTGATCAAGAATGGAATCGAATGTTGCGCGGGTCAGACCAAGCATCGCAGACTCTCAGCACAGCTTCGGAAGCAGCACATTTGGAACGCAGTTGAAAGCAGACCCCTTGAGACTGCTTTAATCTGGCGCATTTCAACATGAAACATATGCGAGAAGAAGATGGTGTGCAAGAGCGCAGAACTGCTTTGGCATCGTTCCGCTTTTTTGCCCGCATCCTTTTGCAGCCGGTTTGCATGTGGACAAGGGGCTATTGACTGCGGAGAAGATGCTTGGAACGTGAAAGAAGAGGCCTCTCTCTTAATTTAAACGAAATTTTGCAAGGAGCCGTTTATGCTTCAGACTTTAGTGTTTGTGGACATAGTTCTGGTTCCGGTCTCGCGGCCCTGCAGGCCCTGCTTTCGCGCTTTGGGATCTCGAGGCCGCCCTCTGCTTGGAGGCGACCGTTTTCTGCCAGGGACCAGAGTCCCAGAACCCACTTGAGCAAGAGCACACACAAAGCATGGAATGCAAACCTGGACATTCCAAGCCGGAACTTTCCTGCCCCTGACAGTCCGATCATTGTGGTGCCCCTCACATGGCACACGTGAACACGTGGGCTTGACCCTTGCAGCTTCGGGGGGCGTTGAGAACTTGGAGTCGAGGAACGCTTAGGAATGTAAGGGGTGTTCAGAAGTTTGGGCTTCTCCTTTGCCAGAGGCGGCAATCAGAGCCGAACACTTGCTATATAGAGTGGGAATAAGAGCTGGGCAGTTTTGGGACATATGAGGGTTGGGCAATGCTGGCTGCAGATGCCCGTAGTGGAGCTTTGCCAACAAAAGCACGTGGGGTGCAAGTTGCTGTGTTTCTGCATGTCTCAGGGCATGGTGCACCGAAACTGTACGGGGCCACGTTAAGTCCGGTGCCCGCTTGGGAGTCGGCGTGTGCTCGGGAGACTTGCTGCGGCGATTTTGGTATATCTTTGCGGTACGGACATTGGAGATCGAAGAGGAGATTTATCATTGCTTGGGGAAAAAGCTGTGGCCAGAGCCCTAAGCTGTTGCGCTCCAGGTATTCGACCTTCCGGATGCCGCCAAAACGATTAACGGTCATCAGGCCCCTGTGCTGCGCAAATCGGGACTCGGGCTTGCGTGCAGTGTAGAGACTTTGAACGATTGTCGGACAGTCCTGCTCAAAGGGTGCATGCTCTCCCCCCATACGTGAACCTCTTCTTTTCTCGGGCTTTCTCGCGAGTCGGCCGTCTGGGTTGTGGGTGAGAAAACATGAGCTTTCGGGATTGTTCGATAAATCGACTGGATTCATCCTCCACCCTGGAACTTGCCGCGCAGGTCAAAAGATATCGCCGCATCGCACGACAAGGGCCGGTGCGGTTCAACAACGTCACCTTAGCGTCCGGGCCGTCCCGTGTTTTAAGAGCGCAGAGAAGGGAGAACCTGTGAGGTTCATGGCCGCTTGCCGGGAGAGTTCACCAGTCTGATGTGTGGGAGGTTCATCGAATGTCATAGAGGCTCACGGAGGGTCAAGGTGCTTTCGGAAGAATACAGAGCTTGCGTGTCTGAGATTCACTCGGCCGAAGACACTCTTTGGGTCTTCTTTGGCTCGACAGTTCTTTACACAAGGGCTCTGGAAATTCGGACAAGTAAGGTCTAGAGGACGAAAGCAAGCCGGGTCGGGGTTTGCATCAAAAACGTGATGCATCTGATCACTGCTGTAGCTGCAGAAAGTAGCGGCCATGCGGCACATCCCTATATCTCCTTCCAAGCTTAAGCCGGAGCCCTCTTGGCAACAACTCCATGTGTGCCCAAGGAAGTCCTTGTCTTTCAATTCTTGACTGTCGCGACTTCGTCCTCAGAATGTGGTCCCCACTCCTGACAAGTCTAGTCCTACAACCTCCTAAAGCACATTGCACGCACGACCCCAACGCGCGTTTAATTTTCGCGGGCCAAGCCCTCCAACGTGCTACACGGAGCCGGCCTTGTGAGCCGCTCTCCTGCAGCTGGAGCTTAGAGTCTAAGAGCAGCTTGCATTGGGCTTTCATCGGGCCTTTGAGCCTCCAACAGTACGCGGGGAAACAGGTGTGGATGGTGGTGTGCCTTCAACCTGCCGGCGAATTGCCAGGGCTTGACAGGGACACGAAATTGAATTTCGTTTAACCAAGATTCCTAAAGTCGATCAGAGCCTGAGGGGGATTTGGGTCAAGTTGAGGGCTGCTGCTGCAAATTGCGGGTCTCACGGATAGTTTGAGGATTTAGATGTTTGGCCCGCAGCTAAGCCTTCACTCCGAGCAAGGATTCTATTAACAAGCCTGAAGACTCTGGACTCTACATGCAACAGAAAACTCGAACACAACCCTGCAAAATGTGCCTTTGTAGCTTATTCCCCCCCCCCCCCCCCCCCCCCCCCCATCTTCCGTCGCCGAGACTTCAGCCATCGCTCCATGAGCACGCCTGATGGCGCGGACGAGCACGAGGAGGGCGTTCGGCTCTTCGGGTAGTGTCGGGACAAGGCTTCGACCTGGGGGAAGTTGGGGTAACCTGGTGAGCTTCGCTCGAGGAAGCGTTGCCATGAGCCGATCCCGGGTAGGGTCCGAACGTGCAGGGTGGCCACTTTGTGGGACTAAGCGGCTACTGGCTCAAGATGCACAGCGAGACCTCTTCGGCTTAAGAGGATATATCTGCTCCCGCCGATGGCAGGGAACCCTGGTCCTTTTCGGGATGTGTAAGCAGGCGCAGTTAGGAGGTGCAAGCGGCACTTCCCAAACAAGCCAGCCAAACCCATTTCTGCGATCCCCGAAGTTGTGAGAAGTCGTCCCCATCTTCAGGACTTCGACGTGCCTAGCGAGGTGCCTTGCAGAGCTCCGTCCTTGTGTCCCTTGAAGAATCACGAGCTTGTAGGACCTGAACCTGAACTAGATTGAGGCTGCAAGATGTTCAGCCTGGCCTATGGAGCCTCGAACTCATGAACATGCCCATACTCTTGTCCAGGGCGTTGTCTCGATCAAGACAACCGGGATGGCTACGGCCACTGCCGTTGATGATGCCAATCTGTCATCTATCGCTATCGAGCAGGCACGCATGCCGGGCTTGACAAGGCTTCTTTCGGCTTCCTGTTCACAATTGTTCACACCCCCCGAAGTCATTCCTAAGGGCAAGAGGTGTCAACGCCAGTCTAGGGTTGGAACCGTGTGCCCTTCGTATGGTACCTTACCCGCTTGTTTACAGGGATCCGAAGTACTCGTACGGGCCCTTACTATGTAGAGTTTATACAAGGTTTTTTTTTGCAAGCCCATAAATCGAACCCTAAGACATCATGGTGCCTTAGCAGTCCAGCTTGGGACAGCTTCCCTTCTATCAACACAACTGGGAGCCCTGAACAGCGAGCTCTCGTTGCGAGGGCGATGCGGGTCAAGACTTTGGCCTGGGTGCGAAACGTGCCCCCTTTTTGAGTTGAAGTGATGGGTTTGAGCCTAAGAGGGTTCCAGAGAGTTTCGGGCTGCAGAGTTCAAGGTGTCGGCTTAGACTATAGCAGGCTTTCCGTTTCGAGAACGGAGCAAACTATCAGTAACCATCATCCAGAGACCCACCTAGAAGACGAGGCATGCCAGAGGTCGCTACTCCCATGCATTCCCGTGCTCGCCTTCTTAGCCCGGTACACCTGTGTGCCAACAGACAGCCCTCGGCCTCCACCCATCCTGAACCTTCAGACCCGAAAGCCTCCAAGCCCTAAGTCTGCAACGCAGACCAGCGTGCTTGTTGGTGGGGACTAGATTCCGATAAGCGCCCTGACCCTTCGCAGAAATGCCGCACCCTTAACCTCGAAAGCGCGAGACCTGGAGACTCCTTGTTCGTGACCCCACAGAAGATCGCGCCATGGAGCAGTTGAGTCTCGAGTCTTGATTCCCGGAGGCCCTTGTCGTAGCTTCAGGATGTGTGACAACATGTCGTTTGGCCTTCTTCGCGCGGAGTGCGTCTCCAGGTACCGTTAGTGCACTGATCCTGCCGCCTCAGCGACAGGATAGCCGCTCGGACAAACTCAGGATTCCTGGAAATCATGCAGTACTCATATACACATATATACTGTTATACAGAACTATATATATATGTATATATATATACATATGTCAAGAGACATATTTGCAGAACACAGAGGTTGTAGGCACAGGGTTTCTGTCTGAGCGGATGTACATTAAAGCTTCAACATGGCGAAGCTTCGATGCGACATGGTCAGTCCGTCAATGCCTGGCCATGCGACATGGTTCTAGCTTGAGATCGGACCTCTGCTCCTACACTGAAGTCCATACACTCTCAGGCACAACTTGTTGTGAAGCCTGTGTGCTGGTGAACCTTTCAGTCTCGCCTTAGCCTGCAGCCGCCAGCAGGTCATGAACTTGCAAATACATCTGAACCACTGGCTCATCCAAACAGCTTGTTGGCAGAGCTTGGGCTCGTTTCTTTCCTAGCAACCCACTAAGACGAAGATAAACGCGCGAAAATAAGGAAGCCGCGCGGTATCAATGAAACTGTAGAATGAGTGATTGTAAGGCAGGAAAGGCCCAACAAAGCTAATGCAAGACAGGGGGTCTTTCACCACTTTTTGATTTTGACTTTTGATTCTCTTGTAAACCAAGCATGTCGTGGAGCAAGTTTACTTGAACAAGTGATTGAACAATGCTGCGCAGAAGTCCCTTGCATTTCTAGCGGTCATATTATTCTGTTCGCACTTCGTTGCACTTCGTTCTCCAACTCTCTCTCTCTTTCTCTCTTTTCATTTATTGTTCTTATTCGGGGTTTTGTTGGCTTTCATGGCGTTTACACATGTTGACACGTGTGTTCAGATAAACATGTGAGTGTGAGCACGCACGCTTCTTAATTCCTTCATGCTTGAATTGTGTCATCAGGGTTTTAAGCGATCGTTCGGGATCACAGCTTTGTTTGCTTTCGCTGCTACATCAATGTGGGACTTGGTTCGCAAAAGATGATCGAGCGGTCCTGGGGCACTGCAGCTTGTTCTCCCATCTTGAATCTTACATCCACAACATCGTTTTGACGCCCCTGCGCTTTGCCCTCTAAAGCTTTTACCATGAGCTTGTGCAAGTGCACGCTGTGGATGTTTGTGGGTCACTTGAGCCCCCCCCAGGTGTAACAAGCATTCACAGCATCATGGAGGTGGCGGCTGCCTCAGAAGATTGCGAAGGATGCTTTTGGACCTGTGTGCATGGATGTAAGCGTAACTCTCTCTCTCTCTCTCTCCCTCTCTCTCTCCCTCTCTCTCGCTCTCTCTCTCTCTCTCGAAAATATGTGCGTACGTACGTTTCTACTCGACACATGTATATGCAAAGGTGTGCATACAGCATTTGGAGTAGAACCCATGGGCCTGCCGGGCCATACCATGAAACCCCCGCGCGGAGCTGTGCCCTGGGACCTTGCAAGGCATGTCGGAATCACCGGATTTCCACATAGACTGGGAAACCTGCGGGCCATATCACCGAGTTTTTTCCATGCTTCCAATAAGGTGCGAGAGCGTGTCGGAAAATTGCAGGGCACAGCCGCCGGAGGCAGGTGCGGCTTTGCGCGTGCACGCAGCAATGAGAAATCTTAATTTGGCTTTGGGTTGATTGTACGCATGAACGGGTTCGACTAGTAGTTCGTGCACGTATGCATTGTCAGTCTCGTAGATTCAGCCATGCTTTGCACCGACTCGAGGCACACAAATCCTCAAGCAGATGACATGTCAGTTTGTCAATCTATGGATTTCCAATCGTCTTGCTGTTGAGGAAGGCATCAGTTCAACTCGCAGCACGTCAGTTGTTCGTCTAAGTGTACATAGAGCCTGCCCATGAACTCGGGCGCTGTAGAGATCCTCATGCTTTCCGCTTTGTCTGTGCCAGGCCTCCTCACCGGGGGATCTGAAGGCGACGATTGGAACCCGAGGTGCTGCGATTCAGAGCTTATCCTAAAGGTTGAACTTTGCAGGAATACAAATGCAAGAAGAACACAATCTGCGCACCGGACTCCGCAAATCCGTCTTGCCTATGCCTTCCAGTGCGAAAGGCGAACGTGGCAGTTTCAGGCTTTTGGGGTAGATTTTGTACTTTGGTCGGGTGTTCAGTAAAGTCGCCATTTTCTTGCCGTCAAGGTGGCATGGCAGAGCAGAGCACAGCCAAGTGGCCTCTGAACAAGCATAACAAGCTACTTGCTCTGGAGAGTCACTTGAGTATGGGTGGCACTGGAAGACCCATATTCAAACTTTCTTTATGGGGCTTCGGCGGCTTTGGCTGGTCATCGCCAGGAGCTACCGCGGGTCACCCAGAACGAACCGCGCCTGCGGCCTTTCGCAGGCCTCAGCTCACCATTGAAGCCACTGTAATAGTAAGGCTGTGGGTCAAGAGGT